GTTTTTATATTCGATAATTTGAAAAGTTTGAATAATCTGTAACATGATTGGGAGCAAACTTTTAAATACTGTTGTCTATTTCGTTTAGTATTGCTCATATATTATAAAAAATAGAGAGAATGTATAATACATATTTTACCTAACCGAAATTAATTCAGCAGTCTAACTCGATGGAGAAAATTCTATTAGCTAAAACAAAATTACTCAATGAAAACATTATATAAATACAATGCTTTAGATTCGATGAAACCTAGTCTCATTCCAGATAAGGCAAAGCCAAAATTGTGAATGCTTATTATTACTTTAGTTAGCAGTCTTTAAAGGAAGCCCTACCATTTACATTTATTGGAGGACTAATAACGCTTTCGTTATCTCTGTCTGAAATTTACATAATTTACCTTCCAAGCTCATTCTTTAACCTTCTAAGTTTCATTGAGGCCTATTCCATCTATAAAATATATTTTCACAAGTAGATAGCATTGATAAAATAAACTCATTAGACGTATATTATATTGGTTTTACTCCATATAAAAACCATGCTTTGATCGCTATACATGATAAGAATAGGACAAAAGACAAGTACAGATAAAACCTTTTCTTCATGAAAAAATCATTGGTGGTCTCACCAAATTCTAATTCGACAAAACGGAACAGTTAATTCGTTGACGACCACAATAGTTCAGCCATAATTCCTAAAATTTAAAATTGTTAAAAATAGTCTAGTAGCAAGATAGTATTTATTGTACGTTTTGAAGAATTGTTAATACGCATATTTCTGTATCTAAAGATTCTATTTATGTTCTCCGGATATCACCGTGAAGAATACGTAGAAAGGCCTTTTTGAATTGAGCATTTGCTAGGGCATAGCAGAATGGGTTTAACGGTGAGTTCATGTAACAAAGCCAATATGCGATATTATATACATGATTGTTTATGCAATACTCAAGATCTCTGCAGAAGCCTTTATACAAGATCAAAATATGATAAGGCGTCCAGCAAAGCAGGAATGCGCCTAGAATGAAGCTGATAGTTCGAAGGGCTTTACGAGCTCTGTTCTCCGATCTACATCGTGCTACCGGCGTCTTATACAAAGACTTGCCGGCCAGTGCCCCAGAGCAGGTCAACCAATTCCAGTAATGGCTGATCCTGTTCGCCTTTTCCATCTGTTTTTTTCTCAAGTGATTGTTTTCTTTTGAAAATTCCACTAAGTTTGTGCCAGGCGTCGTGGCTTGCGAATGGCCTAAATGTAAGGAGCTCCTAGAAGTTAGGCAGACACCACTTTTTTCGCCTACAAAAGGAGTTCGCTCAACCAAATCACCCACGCTATTTCCAGTAGTATTTTCCATCTGTGTACTACAAGATTGGGTATGCAGAGTAGAGCTTGAGTTTTGACGTTTGGAATCCCTGCTGGATGGTCTAAGAAATAAGGCACCACTGGGTCTCACCTGCGGGCTTAAATACGTCTGGCTTTCATTGACTACCGTTCTCTCCTTACAACTTGTCTTAGTTGAAATTGATAGTACATT